ATTTTACATTTTAGAGTTCATTGCAAAAGTCTGTTGCTGTAAGTAGTAATAATATTAATTTAGGATGAGTTAGCAATCTTACCTTAGAAAACAAAGTAAATAAGGTATGCTGCATTTAGGTATGGTGATAATTCAGCATGGTTTCAGATTGTTTCCTTGTGTGTTTCAATACAAGGAAAAAGTGACTTGTGTTTCTTTGTTTAAATGGTAAAGCCCCAGGTGTTGTTCCCAGGTATTTAGAAGTACACACCGATACATAATAAACCAGAGGAGCAGAAGTGCAGTAAAAACATTGTAAATTCTGTTAAAGATTAAATCAGTCCAAAAGGGTTGATAAAAACAGGAAGAATCTATTTTACGTAATGGTGTAAATACTAAGAGACACGCATGTGTGTATAATGGAAACAGAAAAAGTGACTTCCTAACCATTTCCTCTGGTTTGGTTGTTGTTGTTTTTTGTGTGTTTTTTTTTCTTTTCATGAGTTTAAAAAATATTAAAAAAAATTAAGTTGAAGATCTAGATAATTTTTAAAAGATGTACTGTATTACAAATGTCGGAAATTATTTCGTTCCATATAAGGGAAGGGAGCTCCTTGCCCTGTATAGTTCAACTAATAATGAACATTATTGAATTACCTTGTTTATTGCATTTTTTATTTTGTATGTCCAGCACTTGAGCAGACAGGTGGAAACAACCTAGCTGTATTTTACTGCCAAATTTCTCTGCATATACAGTGTGACTGTTATGAAGGTACAATTAGATAAATGAATTGTTTTCCTATAATATATCTACTGCTATTTTCATGTGTGATCTTATAAGAGATGAGCATTGTTTACCTGCTTTCCTGGAACAGCAGATTGTGTTTCTTTGTACAGGAATGTTAAGTGAATTAAGCATATGATCAGTAAGCCTGTTTGCTTAGGGAGGCTGGTGTTTAGACAAGGAGGTTATGGCAGGATACAGAGCAGTCTGGAGGAAAAATACTGTGGATGTAACTATTCTGGTAGAAGAACTAAATTGAAATGGGGACACTACTGTTAATTCATGTGTAATTACATTTCTTTGTTGTTAAAAATTAAATCCTGGCCAATAGGAAAGTTTGAGCCTGAAACTGTGTTTTGAAGCAAATTTGAGCTGATGCCTTTGCAAAACCTTTGGAGATTGCCAGAATGTAGTCACCAGGAGGTGGTTGCCTGATGGACATGTTTATGTTCTTTTATTGTCTAGTTTTTCTGTGACTTTATCAGCATCTTTCATCGTGCAGGTTATTTATCAAATATCCCCTACTACAAAGTTTTGCTTCTCTTCCACTTTCCTCTTGCACTCTTCTCTCCAATAAACCACAGTTTGAGAGAAGGTTCTTTCATGTGTAACCTCTGGGTCAGTCATTCAGTGCTCTTTGGGGCTGGCATTTGAATCTGCACAAAAATCTTTACAGTTCATCATACCTAATGTCATCACCAGTATAGGACCAGATGTCTGAAGTCCTCCTCACAGAAATAATTCTGCAGGAGCCTCAGCAGGGGTACGGGTTGCAAGGACTTTGTACCTTAAAAATTGTGCATTGATCTGCAGCATGATAGCAACCTGCAGCGTCTCCCCACTAGAGTACCTTTTAAAATGCTTTTATGTTTCACAAACTGAATATTCATAGAATGATAGTATGGTTTGGGTTGGAAGGGACCTTAAAGACTGTCTAGTTCCAGCTGCCCTGCCGTGGGCAGTGACGCCACCCACTAGATCAGGTTGCTCAGGTTGCCCCACCCAATAGACCTTGAACACCTCCAGGGATGGGGCATCCACAGCTTCTCTGGGAAACCTGTGCCAGTGTCTTACCACCCTCTGAGTAAAGAACTTAAATATTATCCCAAAGACACTATCACCATTGTTGATGGGCTCAGCCTTGACCAGCAGTGGGTCTGTCTTCGAGCCCAGTGGCATTGGCTCCATCAGACATAAGGGAAGCTTCTGGCACCTTCTCATGGAAGTCATCCCTGTTTCCCCTCTGTTACCAGAACATTGCCACACAAACACAATACATCCCCTTTTTACTCTTTTCCATCAGTGTGATACATCTAGTTTGGATGCCAGTTGTTCATATTTCTGCTCCAGGCTGTAAGCTCATCTTTCCACAGGATCATTAGTTCAGATGTTTTATCAACTGCTTGTTTCTCTGGTGCTTTCCCTGCCTTATGCCCCGTTGTACTGATATGTATCTCAAACTACTGGACTTCATGATTTCAGCTGAGAGGTGTCACACATTGTGGTGCCTGAGTCTGACATCCTTCGTACAGGCCTTACCATCCAAAAATGATTATGTTAGCTTTTGCTTTAACATTTCAGCCCAGGCTCTGAGTGTGTGTTGTCTTTATTGTATTTGCAGGATTTATTGTTATTTCGCTACAAATTTTTTTTTAGTTCCGTGTTTACTCTGAAAAGTTGTAGAATTGGGTTAAGAATTAAGAGGCTTTCAAAGTATCCTTGTCCTGAAGCAACTCTGCTGGGCGTAACTAACAAAGCAAATGTTTTTCAGTCAAAATGACAGGAGCTTCTGTAAGGTTATATTTCTCCCTTCCAAGTTATACAAGAATTTAGGTTACTTCAAATCAGGGATTATAGGCTGAAGTGACCTCTTAAATTACAGATCCTGTTGAACCTTGTGAGAAGATCAAAATATGCGTGATTCTGTGTTAGAGAGGATGTATTTTGTCTGTGATTTGTACATATTTAGCATGACACTGGATTGATTAGATGATTTCCTGAAGCCAAAATTTAGTTCTTCAGGGTCTGACTATGGAATTTTTTTTAAAAATACCATGTGCAGTAAGAAGCTGTGCTGGTATTTATCGTTGTCGATTTGTGGTAATTCCAGACTAGGTAGTGGTGGATATTTAAAGAAACTATCACTCAGTTGAAGATTTTTAGGAAATTCTTGCAGTTTCGTTTTTTTAAATGTGTTTTTTTCCTTATATGTCAGTCCATGATAATTACGTGTATAATGTTATTATTGTCATGTCTTTTGTTATTATTAGACCTTGTACAGGCACAAGGTTTCTCAATAAATACCTAGAATATAAGTTGTACTGTGGCATAATGAACCATCACTTTTCTTTTTCAACATCTCATTACTTTCAGTATAAATCTTCTGGAAGGACCATAAATTAATAGCTGGTCTTAAGTAGCTTTTCTTTTTCCTCAACGTGACAATTTAAAGGATAATAGGATTTTTTTTAGCTTTCTTAAAAAAAACACTCACTTTAAAAGTGAAAGACTTTGCTTTTTGCTTCTGATAATTAGAGTCCCAAATCTGCTCAGATTAGACTAATCTGGACTTCCCGTTTGATGTCTTTCACACTGCTCATTACATGTCTTCACTCAGCTTTCTTGCCTCTCTTCCATCAATGCCGCGTGTTATTCCTACCCAGTGGCTTGCAGGAGATGGCTGAAGGAGCTCCACCAAACTCTTTCAGAAGTTTGACCTTATATTTTGAGTTATGTTCTCTCTTTAACATCTGGCAAGTGTGAAATTTTGAAGTTCAGTGTTTTCACTGGGGCGCTGAGCATTCCCTTACATGGTTTCCTGCAAATCTGTTATTTTTCCCCAGCAGAAATGCTGGGACATAAGTGCTGGTCTTCAGCCTGCTTAGCTTTGTGTGAACCCCATGTGCCAAATTTGTAGTGTGTGCCCTGTGGTCGATGAAGTCTGTTTGCTGTGGTGACTGGGATAGCTGCTTCCAGAACTTCCCTACTGAGAGACTTGCAAACAAGCTGGGAAGGCAGTGAGGAAAAAATGACAGCCATGAGGTCAATCCCGCAGCTCTGGCAGTCAGCGTGTGAAAGGGTCCTGTGGTAGCATTGCTGATGATGCTTTGATATTAATCTTGAATACCTCTAAGACGTTCTGTATTATTAAAGTGATGGTGGTGATGTTTATTAATGGTACTGCTAAGGGAAGGTAACGAGACACCTTTGGAGCCCTCTGGTAGAAGTGCTTCGGGATCTCATGCTGTTATTTCCGAAAGAGCATGGTAACAGAGAACATCAGGAGGTCTCAGGAGAAATTAGGCAAGATAATGTGATTGCTGAAAAATTAACACAAGTTGCAGCTGTATGATAAAAGCTTTAAAAAGTTTCTCCAAACCATATAAAGTAAACAGAAAAACTAAAAGCAACTCCCCAGGCAGGACTGAAATAGATGCATTGTATCTGCTGAGGCTTAGTGCCGTGTTATTCAGCATAATTTGAAAGTTACGTTAAAATTTATAGTTGTTTCCAAAAAATTCTTGAAAAACACCTTCAGATTCTGTTTCCTGAAAGTGCAAAAGTTCTGCTAAGTACAGTAGGTTTCCTTGTTTTCATGTGTTAATTCTGGTATTCTAAAAGCGTGCAAATGGCATTTGTCTTTGGATTTACAAAAACTCTGGATATTCAGAGTTTGAATTATTTAAACTCCCACAACACATGCACTTTTGCTTTTCAAGCTTGAGTTATAATTTAATTAAAAACTTCTGGTGCATCGCTAGCTATTTAAATATTAAAATGTTCCATGGATCACTTTCGATTATCTACCGTCATGAAATTCCTGAAGATGTCAGATTTTTAAGATTCCCAAAGTTGCACTTGGAATTGTCTGTTGATGCAAAGGGGACTGTGATAATTACATACATCCATTAGTATCAGCAGAGGAGATAAACTTTGGGGAGGCTTAATGGGCATGTCTCAGTGACAGCTAGCAAAGAACATTTGGCATGATTAAGGATGGATTTGAATGTACTTGAAAATATACTCTCATTATGGACGCCCAGTGGAAGTTGCACTACAAATGTTAAATTCCCCAGAAGAAGAGTTGTGTGGCAGGGAAGCTTTGAAATCCACTGTGGCCGTCATCCAAATTACTCTCTTCTCTTTGTGTCTTTCCGCTGTCAGATTCACTTTGTGATGCCCAACTTGGCTCCCTGCATCTTTGAAAAGAGGCAACCTGTTGGTTTCTGTGTTTCAGATTGTCCGAAGATACATCAAGGACTGGCTTGAAAGGAAGAAGCCTCCATTTGGTGCTATCAGCAGCTGTGTGCTCCTGATGATCATCTACACAACGTTCTGTGATACTTTTGCCAATCCAAATATCGACCTGGATAAATTTAGCTTGATCATAATAGTGTTCATAAGTAAGTTCAGCCTTAAAGCATCTCTTTGTAATGAGCTGTGTGCCCATGTGGAGCTGTGGGGATACTGTCATGGGCATAGAGATTGTACTTTTAAAGCATCTAGTAAACGAGATTACCAGACTTCCGAGGGGCTGGATGCTTTTAGGGGATCAAGTAAGCATTCAGAAAAGGATGAACCCTGCTATTTAGGTGTGCCTGAGATTGCCCAGTGGTCCTTCCTTTCTAAACAGGTAAAGCATTACTTTGGAAAGATTTGGGTTTGAGCTGTTACTGTGAAGCACTGTTATAATTTTTAAACAGTTCTTCCCTAGTATACTATAAACCTAGAAACTAGTTGCAAGCCTGAATGTGTTGATATGTTTCTGTTTCTGTGGATGAACGCATTGCTTACAGAGCTTGTTTTAGAAGCACTCTAGTCATTCAGCCTTAAATAACATACACATGAGAATAGCCTGCTGGTATCCTTGCCATCAGTTAAAAATACACTTGCAGATCACCACCTCCCAGGGAAAGGCAGTGGTATACTGGCGCTGCCTCCTCTCCCAGTAGGGAATTCCCATCTCGCTTTAGACTGTCCAGAGACAGGAGTTTCAATTTGCACGGAGGAGAGGTAACTACAGTATACTTCAGTATAAATCACATCTCATACTCTAAAACTGTTAGATTTCAAGAAATCAGTGCATCACCTACCTTGAAGCGTGTTTGTTTGCACATGCTTCTGCCTAATAAAAATAATTTATTGCTACAAATCCAACTTCCACTGAAGTCAGTAGAAAATTTGCCCCTGCCCTTTGTGCATCAGGTCTTAATTCTCTCCTAATTTTGGCAGTTTTTTTGATTATAAAACACTATACATGTGTAAAATAGTACATGGGATTATAAATGGTGTTATATAAATACTTTATTCTGAAAGTGAAGAAGTAGGAAGCAATGCTATGGAGCTTTTTTTCAAAATGGATGAAATACTACTTTGTACAGGCACCTGAGAAGGACACGTCCCAGATGCACTTAAATAGGTGCAGAGTTGTCAGCAAAAAAGGATGACAGAGAAATTTTCAACTCTGACTTAACATGCAGAGAAATTCAAAACTAAGTAATTTTACGTTACTGTGCTGACCACTACTTTGGAAAAAATTATTCTTTTTTAGTTAAAAAGACGTGTTTTTTCTTGAAAAGTTGGTGTAGAGTGTTGCTTCCATTGCCCTTTTTGGTCTTTATTGCTTTTCAAGACAACTCTGCATTTGTGCCATGTGTAATTATATGTACCATTTGTCATGCAATGCCCTGAAAATCACTATGTATACATTTACGTTGCCATTGTGCATAACTGGAATTTCTTAGTAAGAATATTAACATAAGCATTGAATCTATTTGGAAGATATTAGACAATTGGTTTTTTTTCCCCTAAAATATTTATAAAACCAAAACCCGAGGAAGTTTTGGAGATGGATATGCACATTGTATTCTAGAAAAAGTTTCTGTATCACCTTTGGATGTGTTGGCTGGATGCATGTATTGTGTTACACCAGGAAGTGAAATTAGCATGAGGAGTTTGAGATGAAACTGCATTTTTTAGTCTGCTGATTAATGTTTTTGTGTAATTTTTATATTACTATTCTAGCTACGGCATGTATGCACAAGGACTAATTGGTAGCAAAACATGTTTATTGCTTTACAGAATTATATGTATTAAGGGATTGGTTTTTTCTGTGCCTGTTAAACTAATGTACTTAGTTGCAGAAAAATTGTAATTCAGGAACAATGGATTGCTTCCTAGTTCTTGAAGGAAGAATTAAGTACATGCTGAGGTGACATTTATACGTTCTAGGAAATGTATTTAAGAGAATAGAAAATGTCACTGGTAATAGCTAATATCCCTGCCATGTTTCCCAGTTGTAAACTGGGGTCAAAATCAAATGTATTGTCCTGACTTGTGCTATGTTATGGGATACCTTAGTCTTATTGCATTCACAAGTTTTGCAAGGGAAAGGGAGAGGACCCACCCTAGATTCTACTGCAAGTAAAAGCCCTTCCCCCATAACCCACAAACACACAGAAAAGGTTGTGCAGGTCACAGGGTTTCTCCTCCAGTTCTGTGGGAGTTCCTGTGCTCTGGCGTGACGCTCAGCCTCTGCAGTCCCAACTGCACAGCGGGGAAGCCACTGGCTTCTCCCCACGTCTCTGCAGTCCAAGGGTGGGCTCTGTGCATCCCACAGCACTTGTGGGTGTCAGCAGAGCTGGCAGAGAGGAGAGCTCCCCTCAGGACGCTCAGAACTATCTGCACTTACAAAGCTGACTGAGCTTGAACGAAAGCTGCTTTGTTTGATGTGCACTGCCCAGTTCAGGAATTAGCCTTTGTCTCAGAGAGGATTAAAATGTCTGTGATGATCTTCTCTTACCCTCACCATGGATCATGATTAATATACCCAGGGTTGAGAGTATTTATTTTGATCGCATTTACACACTGTACTTCCTCCTGTAAGATGGAAAGTCTAAATAACCAGCATCCAGAGCATGTCTGACAGATTTTATGATGTCAACCAATTAAGCAAAGCTAGTGCAAAGAGATGTGCAGCATTGCACTAGTGACCTTTCCTACCATCAAGAAATACTTGATTCAGAGGAGTTAGCCCAGGAAGAAAAACATTAGTTCTGGTTTTCCTCCACATAATGATACATATTGTTCTTCCAGACAGTTTTTAAAGGTTTTCTGTCATTGGATTTCTCTGGATAGACTTGGTCCAGCCTTGCTTCTGACCTGTACTATGGGGACAAAAGGCATGTACACAGCAATTGCAATTGTGCTCTAATTTTAACTTGTTTCTCTTTCAGTATTTTCTGTTCAGATGAGCTTCATGTTTTTGACTTTCCTCTTCTCCACAAGGTAATTGAATGAGCTGAATAACAACCCTTGAATATTTCTTTTGTGTAATATCTGTAGTTTGGGTGATACAGTCTATGCAAATATGTAAAGGCAGGTTTCTGAATAGGGGTGACCTCATTTTGGTATTTCATATTGTTCTTACTGCATTTTCTCTGTTAGACTTTCATAGGCTAAGAGAGCAGGACCTGAATTCTGTCCTTTCTCATGTGTTAATTACAGAGTTGTTAAATCTCAATCAATCACTGCTATACCTCATCCACTGAAAAAAATGGATTTGCACAGATGTCACTGAAGGTATAATTTGCCCTGCAGACATGCTGATGACATATGAGAGAGAGAACTCAGTTTGACTTTTTACATCTCAAGATACATTTGCTGGGCTGGCAATTCACTCTTCTGTGTATATGTCAAATTTGTTACATTTATGTGGTGATTCTTAAAAGACAGTTGTCCTGAGCTAATGTTTGGTAGAGCTATTTTTTTTTCCTTTTTAAATATCAGTAAGGAAAGACTGTCGTACATTCACTTCTCAGAAAATAGTACTGTGAGAATGATATTAGCCAGTGGCTTAGTGCATCACTTGGGCTGGTTGGAGTCTCCACCATTGTTCTCTCTCTTAGACTTACTGGAGTATTTGTCTTAACTGCACTCTGCTGAATGGAAAGTGCCACAATCCAGACATATACTTTATATAAGTTACACAATATCTGTAAGGGAGAATCACAAAGAAGAGTATGATGTCTTAAAGCTATTTGGGCTTTTTTAGTGCCACAAGAAAATTCTTCTGTGGCAAGATAATATCCTGGCCTTAAAAGGCATTTTTAAGTAACCTTTGAACTGCTAGACCTAACCTAGGGGGAAGTTATGTCCGAACTGTGAAATCTAAATTGCCATAAGTAGAAACCAAGTCAGTATGGGAGATATTTAGAATCTCATAGAATTACTCCTAATGTGGACCAAAGGGTGATCCATTGGCTAGTTATGTATCTCTCTCACTATGTCATTTTCCCACCCTTCCTGGCCTTAGTCCCAATGAGTTAACTCTTAGATGCAGTTTTTCTCTGAAGTAGAAGCTAACTCCATATTCTAAGCAGTGCTCGTAGTGTAGACTCAATATGCTATCTAAACTGAGCATTTTTTAAATATCACATACTAGGAGAAGAAATTGTAAGTCGTTCTCTCTCTTTTTTTTTTTTTATGGAGTCAAGCTGGCTATTGCTGTGATACAGCATAACCTTGGCTGGAATAAAGTTGTGTCCTACACACCATGTGTTCAGAATTCCATTCCTTCATATGGGAGTGTATTCATTAGAGAGTTTGCCACAACTGAGAAACAATTCTACTTTAAAAAAATAAATCAAACATTACTGTTCATTTATGGGTAGAATTATTTCTGTCACTAGACCTGATCAAAGTGATGTGAACGTGTATATAGATCCTCAAAGTAATATATTTGATCGATGTTGTTTTAAGAAGGTTTTTGTTATCAGAGGTTATTAAAACTCTTTTATTTTCTAGGAATAACTCTACTTTCACACCAGCAGACACAGTGGCTATCGTCTTCTGTTCCACACACAAATCCCTCACCCTGGGTAAGTCAGGAGATAAGCCTATGAGCAAAACATCAATAACATTCATACCTTGCTTTGTTGAAAAAAATAAGGTTTTAGTCGCTGTTTTTTCTGCTTAAATGGTTTTGGTTTTAGTGTGACAAGTAATGCTAACAGTATGATACTAATAGTAGGATAATATTCTTGCACAGATAAAATAACTGCTTATTACAGGGCAGAGAACAGTCTTCTCAGCTGAGATTTTAGTGGTAATGGAGTAAGACCATCTTATTTGTGGAAGGTGGATTTTTCATTCTGTTTTTATTCTGTTCTGTTGCCTAATCCAATATTGATAAAATTTCAGATTTGTTACTGAAAAGATTGTAAGGTTTATCTGCCCAGTTTCACAACAACATCTTACACCTTAAACCTGAGATGTGTAAGTGAATATCAAAGGATATAGTGTATTCAGAAATCACAAATAGACAATACTTTTGCTTAACATGAGCAAAATGTATGTGTTTAAGTCTGCAGATATTTTGGATAGTTGTATTTCTTAGAATTCATTTCTCAAAACATCACTGAGATATTTGTCACTTATGACCCCTTAGTGATAATAAGATGTTCTGATGTGTATTCACAGAACACTGTTAATCAGATACACTCACAGCCACTTGCTACTGGTTCATCCATTATGTTCAGTCAGTGAAACGACTGGACTGTTTTTCAGAATATGAAAACAAACATTTGGTAAAGCATATATGACTCAATACATGCCTTTTCAAGACTGTATCTGTCAAAGAGGAACACACCTAGCGTCGATAACAAAGGTAAGAACTCAGCCTGAAGCAGAGGAAGAACAAGCTGGGACTTAGGTGAGATGTTTTCCAAGCCAGTTTGATACAGCAAAACTCGCCTCAGGGTTCTTTGCTTCAGCCAGGCCTGTGCTGCAGAACTGTTAGCAAGTGCCTTTGAAAGTCTGTGAGAAGTGAAGGAGTTCCTGGAAGACAAGTCAAACATAATGCCTCTTTTTTCATGATGGAAACAAGGAGGGGATGAGGAAGTATAGATCAGTGAGTTTAACTTCATCGTGTAGAAAACTGCTGAACCAAATAATTAAATAAATTATTATACCAGTATAGGAAGAACAGGAAAATGAGTAGCAGCCCCATAGCTTTGTCAAATGCATATCATACTAAACTAACCTAATTTCCTGTCACACAAGGTCCTGTGGGTTGCAGAGAAGTAACAAAACTTGTATGACTTGAGAGTGCTACAGCTTTTGACATTTGCACAATGTTTTGGGCTCCACAATACAAAAATTATGTGGAATAACTGGGAAGAGATCAGAGGAGAGTGCCGTGAATGATCGTAGACCTCAAAAATGTGAACCCAGAGGAAGATTGAAACAATTGGGATTGTTGAGAGAAGACAGCTGAAATGCAGTAGTGATCTTCAAATGCATTAAAGGTTAATGCAAAGAAGGAAGAAAGTAACTCTGTCACAGTAGACTTTGTAAAGCGAGTGACTTGGTTAAAATGATGATGATTTAAGTTAACCATCAGGGAAACCTGTCTAATGCAAAACAGTTTAGCTTTGGAATGTGTTGCCTATTGATGTCTTCAATCTCCTATCATTGTAGAGAAGCCTCAGACAGAAATTAAATAGTTAGAGTCGATCCTGCCTTGGAGCAGAACACAGATTAAATGACATTATATCTTTTTCAGCCAAACTGAAGCTTCCACTAATAAATGAGCTTGTATTCAGGACAGTTACACTTACATTTGTAGAAAGCAGCTGCACATGTAAGTCATAATGTGCTACCATGCTTGGTATTTGGAGGTTTATATAAACCTAGGACACAACTGTGATACTACAGAACAAAGACTGGAGATGCTGGTTGTGTTTAACAGCACACATGTTTAAGTTTCCCCTTCCCTCCCCAGTGAAAACAGCTATATATATGCTCTGTTGAATATTACTGTAGCTTGTCATGACGCTAAGAAAATAAGCAGAAAGCCTTTTTTAAAAATTCAAGTCCTGGAGGAGGCTTGCCGTCACCCAGAAAAAGATGAGGACTGTTCATTTCTTTTACTCACCCTGCCATACATTCTCATGCAGCCTGTCTTGACCTGAACTCTATGCACACAGCTGAGTCATTTCACTTTTCTTCTGCCACTAGGCTCCATTTTTTATGGTTTTTTTTATTCCTTTAGAAGAACTTAGTTCAAGATTCCTATCTCCCTTGACTTTCTGGCTCACATTTCCCCAGTTCTGAGCTACTGCTCTCATTAGCATAGCCCCATGAGTCAGGTTTTGTATTTTGCACCTTTCTTTATCCAAGTACACCAGCAAAAATACTTTGGCCACCTTGACTTCAAGGCATCCTGCAGCTTCTCCACAGCCATACATACTTCTTTCCCTAATACAGATGTCTCATGACTAAGTGTGCAAGTTGAAGTGAAACAGGTAGATGCTGGAATGCAGCACTGCGAGGCTGTTTCTTGGCTACAGACCATTCTGTTTGTCAGCTTCAGGACAGACTGCTTTACAGTCATCCTGGAAGAGGGATGGGGAAATGCTCCTTTTGGCAGTATCTAGGAGCCCATCCTTGGTAAGCCTGAGGTCCCTGCCACTCTTGTATGCACCCCTACACCATGTGTGTGCTACGTAGGTGTGCCCACTGTGTATCGGATTCAAGCTGACTGGTTTTGGGACCATTGATATTTTACTCTGTTTGGTGTTAGTACCAGTTCCAGATAAGGTAGAGCTGTATGAGGACACATTTGTAGGAAAATAAGGAGGATCGAGTTTTACAAAGCTGCAGTGACATGATGTGCCCCCAAAGCTGATGATGTCAACAGGAATGTTAATCAGAGCAGGTAGCATTTTTTCCTTCACTGAAGAGTGGAAGCAGAGTAGATCTAATTTGTTTTTAAGGCTTAGCCATTTCTGAATGGCACTTAAATCTTTCCACAGAACACTCTTGTCCACCCTGATCTCAGCAGCAACAAGACAAACACAGGCATTTTGACCCTTACTCTTTTGTTGTTCTGGCACATTTCTACTTGTCCCTAGGTGTTTACTATAAACCATGCAACAAGAGATGTCCTGTTCGCTTATAGTGGAGAGAGCTTTTCCCTCTCCCTCTGTCACTGCAATGCTTGAAAGCACAAACACGGCTCAGGGTCTCATTTCACATCCGTTGTGGAGCGTGGTAGTGTCTAAGTGACCGCCCAACACTCGTTCTTTCGCTTTGCAACTGATTTCTCTCAGCTTGGCAGGTGAAACTCCAAATAGGTACGTCTGGCCCATTCCCTGGGGAGCTTAGAATGGCACAGACTAAAGTGGGAGAAGAGCTGACAGCTTTAAAGCTTTAGAAGTGGTAATAGGAGAGGCACGAGAAGACTTTTGTAAGTCACTTTCTCCCACACCATATTATGAAACCAACTAATTCCCATGCAGTGCATGCTCATGAGGCCAACTGCCACTTCCACTGTTGAATCCATGAATAAGTGCTTGCTCTGCACGGAGATGAGTGCTGGTCCCATATGCTGGGTTTTATTTTGTAGACAGAAGAGTTGACACACTTTTTGTCTCAAAGATCAGAGTGCAGGGCGTGTTTGTGTAAGGACAAATTACACAGGGTAGGTGCCTTTGTGTTCCTTAGTTAGGAACATAAGCTGTATTTCTGTGTAGAGGTGGGGGCTTTGGCAGGTTTTTGAACACAGGGCATCACATATGCAGAAAAACTAATGTTTATTTCTATTTCACCTAATGAGTCGAGCAGGATATAAACTTAAAAGGAGCCAGGATAAATACAGTATCCACAATGCCCTCTGGCATTTTCACCCACACTTTGTTCTCTTTCTCTCCCTCTCCCTGCTCACATATATGCACAGTACATGTGAGCACACACATATGCGGACATTTGATGCATGGCTTTTATTAGTGCATTTGCCATTGATTGATTAGTACTTAGTATTAGTACTTCTTCTATTGATTGATTGCAGATGAAGTGACTATTTGACCTTTAATTATGAGCCTTGCTATTGAAAATGACATTGAGCTATGGCTTCACATAATCCATCTGGAAAGCCCGACATGATGCCATTCCCTGGAGTTCATTCAGTGAGAAAAGAAGAGGCCTCAAGGAAGTGCAAAGCTATCACTGTGGCTCATTTAAAAAATACTGCAGTTGTTGCTTGCACTTACACAAAAGTTGCAGCCAAATACAGAACATTATTTTATTTTTTTTTTCAGAGAGTGAATTTCTGGCTAGAAGTTACAACTCTAAAATACAGGATTGTCAAAAAATATATTCACTTTAAGTCTTGGTATTTACTATGTAAAATTAGTTTATCAGCAAAAATCAGAGTATTGCTACCTGTTTTGGCTATCACAAGGGCAAATATTAATACAGTACATAAGATGAACAGCAGATTGGTAAAACAAAACAGAACAAGAATAATAACCCCACCTTATAATAAGATCAGGGTATTGTTTGTGATGGAGAGTGTATTTTTCCTCATTTGGATTTAACAAAGTAGCAGTTCTTTCACCATGGAATTCTGAAAGTAATGCAATCAAAGTTTCTAGGCTACAAAATACTTTCAGGAAAGAATAGAGTTCATTTTAGAAATAAAAACCAAAACACTTACTTTCTCTTGTGTTGTTTTAATTTAATTCAGATTGATTTTTTTTAAATACTCAGCTTCTTACTGCATGAGTAGACAACTGGTAGTATTTGAACAACTCTTAAAAGACCTGGTGTGCTGCACAAGTAGGTTCAGAGACAACTCAATTGTCTGTGAGGAGTTTACAGCCCGTACCTTCCCCCAGGCTCCCCAGCTGCACAGTGTGACAGGGTGCATCATGTTCACATATAGCTCCAATCTGCTCACAGTTACCTGTAGTTTGCTCATGCTTTCTACAGATAGCTCCATATAAAATTTTTCAGGATAAATAATATATTGAAATGCTGTACTAATCAAGTGCGGGCTCTTCTTATTGTGTTGTGATAATCACCTTTCACCTTTAAA